GAGTGGGGTTGGGCCAGAGGTTGGGGTTGCCGAGCCCCTCCTTGCCAACTCATCTGCGGCATCGTTCCCGTGTGAGTTACTGTGCCCTTTAATCCATTGGAGGATTACCCCATTGAATATAGCGAGCTGTTCCAGTGCTTGGTGGCATTCGAAGACAATACCAGAGGTCATTGTGTTGCCCTCCAATGCCTTTAAGACGGCCATGCTGTCGGATATTATTCGGATGTTGTAGTCCTTAATACCCCTTGACATGGCCGTTGTGGCAGCGTAAGTTATTGCCACACATTCACATTGAAATATGGAACTGTGTTGGCCTAACGCTAGTGATATGTTTATGTTTAGGTCTTGCGAGAAAACTCCGGCTCCAGTTCCTGACCTAGTCTTAGAACCGTCCGTGTAAATTCGGACTTCGCTAATGCCGGATTGATCTCGGTCATTTCCATGTATCTGGATGTAGTATCTTCTTGTGAAGATATGGTGTTTTGGGATTCTATCGCATGGCGCTGCTATCAGTGGTTCGTATTCCACCAATTGATCCCGTAATTTAGAGTGCGATCCCCCACGTTTGTGCCATAGACCCAGGTGTTTGAGTCTAATGATCGCCATGGCGGCCTCCTGCTGTATGAATAGATCCAGGGGTGGCAGACCAAGAGCCACCTCCAGTGCGGCAGTAGGCGTTGTGCGCATACAGCCAGTGACCGCGGAGCATGGGAGTCGCTGGAATTGCTGCAGTTTGTTTATGACAGTGCTTAGCTCTGTTCTCTGCCACCAGACAACAGCACCGTAAGTGATTATTGGTCTTATGACTGTTCTGTATAGCCATAAAGTAATTTTGGGTGATAGTCCCCAGCTTTTGCCGAGTAGCCGCTTGCATTGGCAGAAAATAATGCAGGCTTTATTCAGTTTTTCATCGAGGTGCTTGTTCCACAGGAGTTTACTGTCCAGTATTACTCCTAGGTATTTGACCTCTTTGGTAAGAGTAAGTTGTGTTCCAAATAGCTTGGGAAGTCTGAGATTTCCTAGGCTGCGTTTGTTTGTGAACATGATCATCTCTGTTTTGGATGGGTTCACTGTCAGGTTGTGTGCTACGCACCATTGTTTCACGATCTTCAGTGCAAGTCTCATTTGATCGCATGTAATGCTCTCAAAAGGACCGCTGATGAGAATAGTAAGATCGTCTGCATAGCCTATTGTGAGGAATCTTTGGTCATTAAGTTGTGTGATGAGCTCATCCACAACAATGTTCCATAGAAGGGGGGAGAGTACACCGCCCTGGGGGCAGCCTCTAGCCACCACTCCTCTAGTCACTTCGCTCACAGTGAATTGTATAGCTCTATATCTTAGCATGCTGTCGATCCACCCTGAGATTGTGGAATCAACACCATGCCTAGACAGAGCTTGGCTAATGCTGGTGAAGTTGGTCTTGTCAAAGGCTCCCTCGATATCGATAAAGGTGGCCAGTGTTGACCTTTTGTGATTTAGATTGTCTTCTATATATGAAACGACTCGATGTAGGGCAGATTCTGTTGATTTACCCATCGAGTATGCGTGTTGATTGAGGTGTAGAGGGTGACTGACTAACGCAGTTTCCCTGATTTCCCTATCTATTAGCCTCTCGAGAACCTTTAGTAGGAAAGATGTGAGACTAATAGGTCGGTGTGATTTGGGTTGTGTGTAGTCGCCTTTACCAGGTTTGGGGATGAAGACTACTTTAACTTCTCTCCATTTCAAGGGGATGTACTGATGCGCCAGGCAGCCCCTATAGATTTTTACAAGATGGTCCAGTAGTGTCATATCACACCATCTCAGTAGGCCTGGGAAGACACCATCTAGTCCTGGCGCCTTGAATGGTAGGAAGCTGTCAATTGCCCATCTTAGTTTGTCGTGGTTGACAACTTTGCGGGCCGTATCCCAGTCTGTATCATCTGGTGGTTTTTCCCATCTGTCTTCCCATTTTTCCATCGCATCTGATATGCGACATCCAGGTTAGTGTGTTTTTAATAGCAGCTCTGAGGCTTCCGAGTCTGTTTTGGTATACTCACCATCAGGCTTCTTCAGGGAGCCAAGTTTGTGTTCGCCTCTACTACACAGTATGCTTTTGACTCTATTAGCCTGGTTGTTGTTCTCTATGTTAGTACAGAAGTTTCTCCAGCACTCAGTTTTCCTGGTTCTGATTCTCTTCTTATATTGTTGTCGGGCCTGCGTGTAGGCATCCCAATGTTGGTCTAATCGCGAGTTTTTTGCTTTATTGAACAACTTTCTAACTCTACGACGTAGTCTTTCCAGTTCCGGACCCCACCATTGGTGTTTGTTCTGTGGTCCAGTTCTGGGTGTGGAAAGTGGGCATGTTTGTTCAAAGCAATCGATCAGTGTCTGGTCTGATCAAAAATAAGGGATATAAAGGCTTATTATGCTGATGCTTGTGTCTTATTTTGAAGATTTACTGAGCCCTAGCCTCCACAATAGATTTTGTTGACAGTCCTAGCAGTCACTTGGATTTTTCATCAATAATTATAAATGCTTCACAGGAATATTGAATGTTACCTACATAAATAATCGTATACAATGTAGGTTACTCAATCAAACCCTTTATGCATCAATAATTAGGTTACCTAATAATTTTAAATAAATAAGTATGTTGAAGTGACAATGTCATTGTCTGTCGACGCAATATTTAGTTCATATTTTAATTATTGTTTGTAGAAGTATCCTGTTTGTTGTAGTAATCATTAGTATAAAGATTATTTCTTGTTATAGTTGTGTCCTACCACTTTTCTTGTTTAACACACTGACTGAATTGCACTCAACTGTAAATCGACCTCAACCAGGTCACATACATTTAAAGATAAATTATGAAAATAAACAGACAAATGAGCCCAAATAAGCGACTGCTTCGAAGATTTGCAAATACTTGATGGCCGATATGGCGAAATCAACAATGATTTTGGCCGCGGCATTTTTCGCGTCCATCTAGACTTTGTCAATCAATTCTCTGTCCATAGGGAATAGTTCTTTTTTTAAATGAAAGACAGGATGTCCTTTTCTGTATTTTTCTTGATGATCGTATAAGCGTAAAAGAAGAAAACAAATTCACTTCCGCAGTTATAATATTAGTAAGGATTCTATCCATTCTGTTTAGTTCAAGAAACCTAAGTCTAAGTAGTATTACCGAACAAAGAGATTCAATACAAATCGGTCTTAATAAATAGTGACATAGAGCAGCGGTGCACGAGTAAGCGGTCGTTAACCCAATTGTACAGCACCACTCGCGCGTTAAGCTTCAGGAGAAGGTTGCATAGTTGCACTACAGCACGGCAATCTTATCACTGATTTGTTCCTGACCTTAAATACATACATACTATATCTTAGTACGTGAATAAAATTCTTTGTGCCCCATTTTAACAAACACGCACGCACAGTATATAAATTGCAAAATGTTATGCGCACGGAAACATACGTAGAATTGCGGATTTTTAGACCAATATGTAATCTAAATATAAAATATATATATACTATAAAGTTAAAAATTATGTAGAACGGCTGCATTAAACTATTTGCGTCCAGTGTATATTTTGGCCTGTCACGGTACAAAGTCTATTCAACGACAGTTCAGGCTATACTGGTAAAAAAAAACAAGAAACTGATAACGTTCGAAATTCGACCGCCACGCGATCTTTAGCTAGATTTAATAAATCAACGGAAGGTCAATTCTCGTTATGAAAATTCGTTCAAAATTCAGTTTCGATCTTACAAATTAATGTCGATCGATCTGACAAGTGTCATAAAAGGTATTCTCGTTGTAAAGTATTACTAAGACTAGCCGAATACCGATTTAACTTTCGGTCACAATACAATATTATTAAATTCCAGTCAATGTTGGATGTTTAATACCGACTTCACTACGAGATATGACATTTGTAAGCTCGAGAGTAGCCCGATACCGAATTTGAAACGAATTTTAATTCCGAGAATTGACCATCTGGCGTTCGACTCCGTTAATTGGTATTGTTTTTATCAATACCTATGGGACGGGTTGTAGTTCATCCCTTAAGTATTGATTACGTTGAAATGCGAATAAGGATATTGTATAAATACCATTAGAGCATTATTGTGTTAGTTCGTGTGGTATTGGAGTAAGACGGATTTGGTAACAGGAATTTCCTGAGGTTTAAATGTAGTAGATAAACTCAGTTTTTGTGTATTTTCTACATAAGATAAGCACTGCGCTATCGGAACGCGACGTGAACCTAATTCAATGTTACCGCGTCCAGCGTTTGGATTTTTTTTGCAAGTAATCGTTGCAATTTAGAACGAACCGCTGGCCAATTGAAGTATACATTATTTCTGAATGATTTTAAACCTGATAAAATTATTCATACAGACGACCCGTATTTCTGGTATAATTTCCAATGTCTGGGTGTTAAACTGCAAAGCAGATTTACTTTTTTTATGATATAGACAGCAAACGAACAAACGGGTCCCTCGATGGTAAGTGACTATTGCCGCCCATGGACACCTGCATCTCAAGAGTAACGAGTATGTTGCCATTGAGTCTCTCCCCTCAGAATCAGGAGAACCTTACTCACTCGGTGAAAAGCAACAAGCGACAAGTGAAAACTTGAAAATTTAAATTTTTGATTATAACATGTTTTTTTGTTGTTGTTTTCGTATCGAAAAGTTACGACATGAATATATTACATCTATGTTGTACGTATATACACGATATATGTTTACATTATATATAGTTATATTATCAATGTATTTCAACCCAAACTTAACTCTCGTGTAAACGGGGCCAATATATGAAGATACTTATTTACAGAGGTGTCGGTAACGGTAACAGTGTCGCGAGTTCAATGATTTTTTCCCATCTCAAATTATACATTATTTTGTTTGTTGTTCTAACTAACACCAACACTAGTTTTCTGTGTACCTGGCCCAAATGCGCTGAAGCATGACTCTCCCAGAGATTGTCATACAAATGATATAATGTTCATTACCTTCTCTTCACTAGTCCCTTAGGCAGCAGTATAACGCGAGCTCCAGTTAAATTATACAGCCTGTGTTGATAAAACGCAACTTTTTCAATCTTCTCATCCCACAACGCTCTTTTTGGTATTTTGGTTCTGGTATAAGATAACCTCAAGTTACAACCTGCAAAAAGGAAAGACTCTAAGCTATGATATAACAAATTAACCCTATTATTAACTGCGTATTGTCATTAGCCGATTGTTTCCGTATTTCTGAAATTTTAAATTTATTTATATATCATATTGTATCTTGAAAAGTCATAGTAGGCCAAAACCTCCTTTCTAAGAAGAGGCCTATGTCCAGCAGTGGACTATTAAAGGCTGCTGATGATCTTGAAAAGTAACCAAGAATTTTAATTAAACCCTAAATTAAACTACACCCAAGGAATTATAGCATTTAAGTGTCACTTCTATCCGTTGTAAATACTTATATTATGTAAAAGTATTTTGGTATGTTTTTTTTTGTAATTTCAACATCAGTTTATTTTCTAAACTATGATACGCACCTGTTATAATTCCTAATTATGTTTAAAACGAATGTTGTAAATTTAACTTTCGTTTGTGCTTAAGATGCAGCTGTGTACACAATACAACAAAAGGTTAATAACCCGATATGATAAAGGAATTAGAGAGTGAAGATAAGAAGTCTGTTAAAAATTTAAGCAAACGAGCAGCCATGCAACACTTACGACATAAATTTGATCTGATGCCTACATACCACTACAGTCGTTTTTAACTCACTTCAAAAATAAGAGCAAGGTCTAAATTCTGTTGGATTTGTTTTTATCCAAGAACTCCGCCATTTATAAACCAATATAGAAAATTCTTTTTATTTGGCCCTCCCTATATAGACTTTCCGTTATATCCTATTTAAATTTAAAGAATAAGTATTGCCCTTAAGGTTGGAAAGTTAAATAATGAAGAATGTCGTTTATTACAAATTATCATAACGCAGGCAGGGACGCATATTAGTAAACAACTATATTTCAATTACAACAATTAGTCGATTCGAAGTATGAAAACATTTTACATGTGTGAAATTACGTCATCGTATAGACAACACATCATTAATTGATAACTAATAATTGTAATAAGCCAAATGTACTGCTGGCACTATTAATATCATTTTATCTAGCGTCCATATTTCTGAAATCAATTCTACCTGTATCCAGGCAAACCAATAAAAGTACCACTCGTCTCACTATTTGTAAAGAAATGTTAAGTTACTTATGCCTGTTACATGGCCTGGCATGCGATTTGTAATTTGTAATTATATGACTTAAAAAGAGACAAAATACATCTTAATAACTAGTAAAATTAAGAGCCAATATTTTTATTTATTTAAATTTTCTGCACAACCTTGGAATAATCTATCTATACGACAACCTAGGATAAGGCAAGAATAAAAACAACTGTAATCAAATTATGTTATGTAATGATTAATAGATTAAACCATGCGGTAGCTTAGTAATCATTAAGTAATAGAGAGAATAATAATTCTGAAGTTAAATGTATGTAGCTTACCTTCAAGCTTCATGAATGCCGTTGTGGTCTTGTTAATGTGGTACTGGTGAGGGTCATATTCTGGAAATCTGTAGTGATTGATCCAACCCTAGAATGATTCACATATAAAGTTATCTATCCTTAAAATCAACGCTGTAAAGTACCCAAAAAAAAAAACAATTTACCTCATATTTCTTTAAAGGCCTGTGTTCCTTTACAACTGGAATCGTGTACGTAGGCGGCATAGCACTACTTCGTTGCATTTGAAGTACACTAGGCTTTTGATCTGAGTCAGTGAAGAACGTATCGAGAATATAACTCTTGAGGTTACTAGAGAAACAAAATGTCCATAGCCCTAACAAGAAACCATTCCAATTATTTGAATTAGGAAAAAGAAAATAGTTTACAAAGACGAGGAATGTGAGTAAATACATTGGAAAGTTGAAAAAGTATTGCTTTGGATCCTCAGTTTTGTTATTAGTTTTTAGATTGCTTCTACTGGGTGGGAGGCCAAAGTTGCTGGGGGTTAGAGGTTTTTGGACCTGCTCTGTTTCTACAGGGTTACTATCTTGAAAGTGGGCGTCAATGTTATGGATGCTGCCAAAGCCGTCTATCGTGTCTTCTAAAGCTTCTATGCCAGATTCCACTTCCATCATGCTGTTGTCGTTGAGATATTCTCTTGTCAATTCGGCCGATTCGTTGTGTACTGTTAAAAAATTGTATGTAAGACTTGATACAGGCAAATGGTTAGTATTAATTATACGATGCGAACTTGGCTGGGCTAATTTTTTTAGATAATCATGGCTCGTTATTCTTTTAAGCAATATTTTGCATGAACTTTATAGCTTCCGGTTAAATAAAAACTCGGGGAATCCCGCTGCGCACAACAAATAGTTACGTAATCTAAATAATGTGGGTGGTCTGTTGCTGTACAATTGCATAATATTAACACATTTAAGCGCTGTATTATCTTTTAGTGTAATTAAAAACATCGATTTTATTAAATAATTTGTAGATATCGCTGGTCTGACTAATAAAAGGATTGGAATCTAAAAAAAAAACGACGATTAATAGCAGCTACATTTACGGAAAAGAGGAATAGTTTGCGTTTAATGCAGATTAGCTTACTTTTAAAAACTAGTTATTATGACCTAGCATAGTTGCGAATTCGGAATGCAGCTAAAAATTCGAGTAAGTATTTAAAATTCCTTTGTATAATTGAAAGATTTGTGCATGCACTATCTGTTCTAGTTCAAAACGATAAATAATACTTTAGAGCACATGTTAAGTGAAATAATCAATTTGACCTATGTCTAAAACTAACAAACTCAACGGAGCGTCACCTACCAAAGTTTTTGTGTGTGTCGTCACTGGAATTCGAGATCTTGTTATCAACGGGAACACTTGATTCTCGCTCAGTGGCCTTGGCTGTTAGCGGTTGCGTCATTTCCGATAAGTTCTGCATACTGCTGTCTAGTGAGGATACCTAGTGACATACGAGATGCTAACTTGTTTTAACATGGTATATAGGCAGTGAAGGATATAACTAGAAAAATATTAATTCTCGCCTTGAGACACTAAGTTATATTAACGAATTCAATTAGTCTCGCGTTTAATTAGCAAGCACTTTTTCACATTTTTTCGTTTTTTTTTACAAATTTGGAAGCATTAAAAGAGAGGCAAAATAAAAATAATTACGAGCTTCTCTTTAGTCCAAATAATCTAAGTATATAGTCTATGTTACATTGCCGCACACAAATCTTAATACGGGCAAGTAGTGACATCCTGGAAATAGGCGACAATGCGTAGTCAATACGATTGACGGTCTCCACATAGTACTAGACTCCACGATACAATTGGGCTACGTTGGCAAATTATCGTTACATACGAGCGTATAAAGGCATCTCTTATCTGTGGATTGGCTCAACACAAGCATTTATAACAACAGTTCGACATGCAAGCACCAGGAGCAGCTATATATGAAGGAGCAAAGCGAGGGAGCATCACAAATAATTTAATTTGTAAGATTCTTTACGGATATCAGAGTAGCCAGTACTTTCTATGACTTGAAATGTGTACAGACATATTTCTTACTCTATATTCTACTAACTATACATTAGGTTTATGTTCTCAATTCTTATGAGTCACATGAAAAGCCACTCATTAAACTGTCGTTAAGCTATTATCAGGACCAGAAAACATTTAGATAAAGATAGAATTGGTAACTCAACATCACAAAAACTTCGCCCCTGGGCTCAGTCCCGAACGGTATTTTCGCTTATAATATTAAATCAATGTTATGTAATTCGATAATCCCGACATGCTCTTTTTAAATTTGATTTACATCCACTCTCTTTATGTAGCTTAATGAAAGAAGTGAGTATGCTTTGGGTGCTCGATTCAAATCAAATTTATTAATAAACATGACCGAGGCTAGGTACATACAAACCTGTACAGGCAGTAATTTCATTCGATGAGAACGTTTGTCGTGCATGCTCTGTGTGCACTTAACATAATGCAATATACTATTGTTTTTTATGATAGAGGGGGCAGACGAGCAGAAGCTGTTTTTTTAGATACTTTCTTTCTTTTTTTTCTTCGGGTTCAGAAGTTGTGCAATAAAAGTTTCATATCTCGTTTTTATAGACAAAATTCCTGTTGTAATTTACCTATACCTAAGTTTAGGACTGTAGGCACACGGCAACTAAATACTAGCAAATTATATACCTACATTTAAATTCTAGAGTAACCAACCGCTCGTGGTCGGTATGTCAGCCGCTCTCTTTAGGCAATAGCAAGTTAATATTCACTGAGACAATCGGTAACAATGCAATAAACGCAAACATATATATTGTTTTATAAATACACACTGACAATGCTCGAATGCAGTTAGTTCACAGCTCCCATTTTATCACTTACATGATCTTCAGCACCTAAAGTTGTCGGCTGTTGTGGTTTAAAAAAAATATAACATCACTATGTAAAAATATGAACTATAAGAAATATTAAAAACATGAAAATGATGATCCATTTACACGTTTTTTATCAATTCAAACTTTTAAGATTGATATTGGGAAAGAAAAATTGGTTCGAAACTCTGACATGAATAACAAATGGAACCTATGGAACAATCTTTTAAAGAAAGCGTGGTTTTAATTTTGGACGAAAAATAACAACTTTTTGCCCAGGACATTAATGGACTTTAAACCATTTTTAACTAAGCCCATATGAGCTTAGTGAAAAAACCGTAATTAAGTGCTATTTAATATTTAATAATAATCTACGTACGGTCTGACCTACAAAGCAGATAACTTAGTTAAATATTTTCGGACATCTAACACGCAACGCCATCTAGTTTCATACTAAGCAGAGCTTGTACTATGAAAACTAGATTGACTGCTAGAATACGTATGTATATACATTTTTTTGTAAATACATACTTATTATACATTTAAAACACGCAAACTCCGAAACAAATATTTGCAGATCATACAAACATTTGGTTTGACCCGGGAATCGAACCCGAGACCTCAGCACAGCAGTTCCATACGCTACCACTGCACCATCGACGCAGTCATAAGGTGTCAAATTAAAAATAATAGCTTTCTTGTTCACTTGCCTGTCTGTTTATTAAAAATATCTCCTCTGGAACTTATAGAACTATTGAGATGGATTTACATTAAAAAAAGGTATTATAATAAGGTTCTAATAAGTTAGCAATTTTTACCTAAATTTAATTGGATTTTTGTAAAAAATGTTTTAGATGCCTTTATAGTAAAATACAAAATGATAACTAATTTGCCGGCCTGCTCTCGTCAAACCTCGTTACAGCTACTTCCGAGGTCGTAATTAAATAATTTGTTAGAACTTGCCTGGTTGTCTGTGTCTCCTACACTCTGCTGGTCCGAATCCTTGATAGCCGAGTTTTCTTCCGAATCTGACGTGGAGTTCTCTCTAGGTACTGATTTTTCTTTAGTTTCTGTTTAAAAAAAAGTATTTTTAATAAACATAAGTTACAAAAAAAATGTAAAATGGATCATTATGAGCTTAAAATTGTTGTCTTGACCAAATATGTAACAAACATATATGCAATAGTTATTATATATATGTTACATATATACATACAATAGTTACACTATTCAATGCCTGCCCTTTATCATCATTAGTCAAAATGTAAGGGGTTTAGAGTCTAGTAAAGTAGCCACTAAAAAGTTCCACTAATCACTTCCTGATTCTCTTATCGGATCAGCTCCGAGGACCAAACTACAAAGTTTCGATACGAAAATCACAAGTACATAGATTAAAATAACCATCAATATTTGTTTACATAGTTCGTTACAAGAGAAGATATAAGCATATCTATACTAATATTATAAAGCTGAAGAGTTTGTTTGTTTGAACGCGCTAATCTCAGGAACTACTGGTCCGATTTGAAAAATTCTTTCAGTGTTAGATAGCCCATTTATCGAGGAAGGCTATAGGCTATATATCATCACGCTAAGACCAATAGGAGCGAAGCACCAATGAAGAATATTTCAAAAACGGAGAAAATTTATTACTATTGACAGACGCAGACGAAGTTGCGCGGGTCAGCTAGTTACTAAATAAAACCGAATCGGTAAATGCATTAAGTGGCGGCTTTTTCGACATTTTAATCTCATAATGTATGTATAATTGAATGCTTCAGGTTATAGATAGATAACTCTTTATTGTACAAAATATAATATATTTTGTACAAATTAATAGTACAGTTTGTATAAGTCTTATGACTTAACAACAGTTACACAAAGAAAGTAAAACTTAATACATTAAAAAAGTTGTACAATTGGCGGCCTTATTGCGATTTGCGTTATCTTTCAGGCAACCGCTGGATGGAGAAGGAGATTAAGGACGTGACGGGCAGTTGCAATTTGCAGTATGATATAACCAACACTAATTGTAATAACTATACATATTATTCTTATATGTTATATGTCACGTCTAAATATCACTCACGTGTTTACATCTTGTGGTAGTTTATCTTAATTACAAATGTCATTCTCATTGTGAGCTCGTCTTGCAAATGCTTTGTTAAATTTTGGGGTTCCATAATATCATAAATCAATTAATCATTAAAAACCAAACTTGTTTCATAGTAATTATAATGTTCAGTATTTTAATAAAACTCGCACACTTGGAATGTATCCTTGGAGACTTTACATACATGAAATGGGCACAAAGAACACCCAAGTTTGTTTATTACAGAAAGTGTTATTCCAAGTGGGATCAAACTCACAACACTAAGTGCAGTAGGAAGCAGTGACCACTTAAACCACTACACCATCCGTGCAGTGAATGGTTTACTTACATATATAGCAAATGATTTCATTCTTTCCAGGTTATAAATTAATTGGTCTAATCAATTGAAATTCAAACAATCCCAACAGAGACATGAATGACACATATCTACTGTGTAATAGTAACTATGATTAATTAAAAAAATATATGATTATAATACTAACTAATTACCTACAAAATGATTACACAATTAAGAGTAATCTTTCACTGTCCTGGGCCTCTTTGAACAATGGGGTAGTTTAAATCTTTTTACAAACTGATTTGCCTATTGGTCCCCAAGAAGGTACGTAACTCATAGGAGTTCACAAAAGTAAAAAAAAGATTCAATAAATCTTTTGAGTTCACAATTTAAAAACAACTCAAATAAAAACTTTTTTCTATACATTGGTGAACTCATCATTCCCATACTCTCAGTTAACAATTACCATTATTACACAAACCATAAACTATATAAGATACATAAGATGTAATTTATAGTAAAAAGGTATTTATCAACTATAATTTCTCACTCACTATACACACTTGTCTATAATTATAATTACTTTCAACACAATTAAACACAATATTCTAAACATCTGAATAAACAGTATTGTGAAATATGATGTTTACAAAGTAATAATGTGTATTTATAACAGGACTTTACAGAGTTCTTGCCATGTTTTGTTGCTTTTCATTACATCATGGAGAAACCTCTTGATAGATTGTATGCATTTTGTTTTTTATTTTTTTTGGGTATCATGATTATTGCCACCATATTATGTAATTTGCCATATTTAATACAATGGACAAAATATTTTCTAAATAGCTTTGCAGACTGCTGACTTAGCAATTGCAGATCCTATTGATATAAGCATTAGCGCTCTTTCCACTGGAATCTCCAAGCTCAATTCCCCAGGGAATTGTACAACACTCACTATTACTTCGATCCCCTGTGCTAGCGACCTAACAAATTCTAAATTTAATTCGTTTTTAGGCCCCTCTCAAAATAATAAAACAAAGTTACTTTCACACTCTTTGTACATCAAAAACAAAAGGTTGATTAAATATCAGATATATTTTATTTATTATTAACCATGACCGCTACATTTATATTTACCTTAATTTCTTAAGCATTATCATAAATATAGAATATGTTATGTGCAAGAAAATAAAATTATTAATTTACCACAGTTTAGATTTTTCTGCCAATGTCAATACTTACCAGCCACTACATTGTAAATAGACCTTTATAATGTATATGCATCATCAATATCAGGTGATCAGAGTGGAATGTTGAGTGTTGTGTAATCCCCTAGGGCATTGAATTAGAATAGTGAGTGTTGCACAATCCCCTGGAGGATTATCCCAGGGAATTTACGTTCAAAGGGGGGGCATTAGTACCTTTACAAGCCCAAAACATATGCTTGTTTTAAGGCTGCTTGATTTATATATTATGTATATTATATACTATATAACTTCTTACCTTCCACTGATCTGGTTTTCATATCTTCAACAGCTTGAGCTAACTTAAACTTGAAGTCATGAAAAATTTTCCATGTCTCATTGCTCCCCTCTTTTACATCAGGAGATGATTCTGAAGTGCTGCGTTTGCCAAGACGGTTCAGGTATTCCTTCATTGGTGATGAAGATGCCTCCTTCGGCAAAGGAGGTAATTTTTGTTCTTCAACCGGTTTAACCTCAACTAGCTTAGGTTCTTCTGGCTTCTCAACTGTTTTTTCTGTACGAATTGATTTAAAGTATTTATCTATGATGGAAGCTGATCTTTCTCCTCTTTTGGGGCTGGCATTCTCACTATGTGGTGGAGGAGGATCACACTGTGGTGTGGGCGGGTCATCCTCGCATAGCTGGTAACACAACTCTTCCAACTCCTCATTGTTAGCATTGTATCTGAATGATAATGAGGAGTTTGGCGATTTACCTAAAACAATGAATATTTACACGGCGGATTTCAATTGCCATGAAATAATTTTTCTAATTGGTATGCTATCAATACATTTTGTAACTTACAATTGTATTATATTATGACCGTTTGTTCTAAAAATAACAAAATAAGAAAAGCGCACAATGTTAAAAAGTACATTATCACGTTCGTAGCTATAAATTTGGGATAATTGTTTGTTATTGTCTTTGTTGTCTAAAAAACTATCCGAGCCATGAAAACATGTTAATTAATGTCAGCACGTAAACAACTGCTCTTCATTTAAAACTTGTAGATAACGCGCAAAAAAGAATTATTTTGACTCTACTCTAAATATTAAAATATTGTTGGCATATTTCTTCAATACATACCCACTCCAGATATCTCCATTTTAATGATTTATTACGGATAAAATTGTCTGTAAAGTAACATTGTTCCAATTATAGAGATCGATACAAATTCTCACAACTATCATGACAAAATAAAATTATCAATTTGTTTTTCTCTTTTTCAATTTATCTGAACCAATTGCTCTTGTCTCACAAACTCACAAATCAAAAATATTGAACTCAAGAATTGCCCTGTCAGACGAGTAGGTCTTGAATGTCAAGTTGTCAGATTTTAAATGTCATTCCTTTTACGATGCGAAGGCGGGTTTAGGCGATTACATGTTGTATCATTTATCGACATCCACAATCAGAAGGCTGGAGATAGGCCTCTAATATTGCATGTCACTTGGTTCGATCTTCGACTTAATAAAATAATGATAGAAATATAGATAATAATAGTGAACTCGAAATAGAAGTCTCTAGTAGGGACTAAGAGAATAACTTAAATAATTCTCAAAAAAATAATGCTTTTTTGATTCACGGCAAACAAATCATCATTATCATCTTTACGAAAGGAGTACTTCTTTTTTAAAAGGTTTGAAGATAGTATCGTTTATCGTGTATCGTGCAATACATTTTTTCCAGAGGTTGGTTGTATGAGGCTAAGTGAAATATGCTGCCTCTACTGCAGCACACCAAGCTTCTTCGAGGCTCTTTGCTCTCTTACCTCTAAGTCATACTAACTGATACTCGTACAATTAGGGAGGTGCTCCAGCCAGTCATCGTCAAGTAGGCTTGTTGGCAGAATAGGACCTTTTCCATTTCGACTGTCACAGGTCGCTTCTGGGTACGTCTGCTAAAAGAAGTACCAGCAGTTGATCGCTGCAGTGAGACGCTACGACTGCAGTGAGAACTTGGCTCAGCACATACTTGTCAACGTAGCAGAGAGGATTTCTCGACACCATTCGTTACACGCTCCAGAGTCGGTGTCTCATGTCACCCTGAGTGTAGTCTCAGGTGAACGGGTTTTCACTCCACTGGACGTCAAGGCCTACCACGAGTAAGTAACGTCCTTGTGGAGCGGACATCTTCAAAATGAGAAGTTTTACCCAAAGGTGGTACATGCGCTTTTGGAGGGCAGGTGCTAGGAAGGATCCCAAGAACTGGGCACGCCATTATAGCAGCCGTAAGACCCATTATGGAGGATTGGCTCAAGAGGAAACACAGGACACTCTCATACCGGCTTACGCAGTAGGTCACCTGTGTCTGATCAGCAAAAAACCACGTAGCGTCGTGAGGGCTATCAGAGCAAGGATTCTCTCGATCGGTACCATGATTGCAGCCATGGTACAACTCAACCCACCATACAAGTCTTCTCGAGCATATATTGCTGGCTGGCTTAAAGGGTGGTGCGGGACCTGAAGAGGCTTAGAACTTTCCCGGTCCGCCAGGCCAGGGAACGGGTCAGGTACTGCAGGTGGCTCAGGCGCCGGCGGTCGGTAAATGACCTTCGTCCCTTAGTAAGTTGTTGTTGTAAAAATATTGTTGCACATTTTTATCAGCAGAAATAAAATGAAATAATTCTATCAAAAGTAAGTTTTCATATAGCGTTAGATAATATTCTAGGTAATGATTTGAAATGCTAAAAGTAATTCAATTTAAAATATGAAAATTAAAGTTAAATTAAGACCCGGACAAAAAATTGTTTTTCTTTTACTTTGTAAAAACCCTTAAGCTTGCATGACCTTATAATCTATGCATTTATTATACACTGTGTATTGTATTTACGTAAATAGTCACAAGTAAAACAAAATACTCCAGCCCGCAGCCACTTGGGCTTTTTTGGTGACTTAATTCCTGAAAGAAAGATCTAATGCTACTTTATTTTTTAGTCGATAGTCATGTGGACCCTCTGTACATTATCTGTGTGGGTAGTTATGATTGTGATCTATTGTGATGCCAAATGCCACTAATGCCAGTTGACCATCTGTCAAAAATCATTTGTAAGGGCTCTGTTGTGGTGTTTTGATTTCTACGTTTATTGCGTTATAATAATGGAAATTACTTACTTTACAAATCGTTAATTGGCATAAATACTGAATATGAAGTACTTATGTGTAATATTATTTTTGTGTGGACAGTACGGTGTGGGGTCTATCTTGGATAATAGTGAAACGGTAAGAAATGTACAATCGACGTCTACTGCTTTTGATTAATAATAAATAACTATGCAATAACTAGATGCAAGGTTAAGTTCGTATTGAGTGTGCAACAGTGTAGTTTTTGTTGTAGGAAAGCACAGAGTTATCGAGAGCTTTGGACGACCGGCCTCTTTTGTTTGCCACGTTAGGAGGCGGCATGGTTGCCCTCGAACCTCTAGCGGGAAATATTATTTGGAAATTAAAAGATGGTAAGTACTATTACGTACATACAATTTCTGCTGTAAAAATAATTTAGTAATAAGTAAAATTGTTAAGCAAGTATGACAGAGTTATATTTATTTTTAAGAGTAAGTTATTTTCGTCATTATATCCTTTGTTATTGTAATTGTTTTTCTTATAAAGTTCAACCACAATATATGATTTTTTTGAAACAATCATAAGCGCTTATGAAAAGTAATGTGTGCTGTGCAAGGACTAATACTGCTGATTAAATTAATAGATACAGTATCTCCTATAAATTTGACCAAATGAGACTACCGTTTTGCTTCACATGCATGCATTTAATATGCCACTGTTAATAATAAATCTGATCATACAATTAATGTTTGCAAGTTTGATACTAAAATGTCCCACAACATAGCATATTAAACTCACCCGAGTGAAAAGATCAGTTTTGAATTGTGTGGCACATTCACACATTTCACAAATAACCAATTTTTCAAATTATTATTTACATCATTATCATCATTTTTTGTTAAATATTATAGATATATATCAAAAGTATTACATTACATGCCCTCTTAAAGTGTTTGCATAGTACCTAAAGTTGTGACATTTTGTTTGAAAAACCATAGGTACTGCCAGGCTATCATTTAACTAAGTAAGCAGACATCTTTAGTATAAATGGTCAAGGACTTCCACTAATTTTTTAAATGAAAAGATTTAAAATTTGGCTCCAATTAAAAAAAAAATGTTTCCCATTAAGAATGAAAAATATTTGAATTAGTTCTTGTTATCTTAGTTGTCATAGGAATATTTCATAGCAATTGATGCAGATATAATAATTGTTTATATTTACCATGCAAAATTTATCTTATCAATATTGCATCAGACATCACACCAGCATCATTGCATCAGGCATCAGTCTTTGCAAAAAAATCATTTATTAATATGAACCTATGCTAATACTTTTAATATCAAACATTAATGTTTTATCCATGAAATGGATATAATATGTTGATATTTCCTTTTAGGCTGTTAATCACTTTGATTATGCAGATATAACATAAGCACTTAATGGAATAGTATTATAGAATGTCTAGAACAAAAACAAATCAAAATTGATAAGGGTCTAGATATCGAAATATTATATTTTACTCTATAAATAAATAGGCAAAAACAAATTTAATTAGCTCAGTTTTTTATTTATTTTATTTAGCTCTCCAACAAGAAATACACCTAACATGCTAGTTTTACATCAAATAAAATTTATGTCTTGTGCTTCCTCAATTATAGGCTACCACAACATGGATGTTACAGAAATAATTAATTACAAACAGTGGCCACCAATGCCTTTTCAGATTAAAAAACACTGATAAAATAATTATAACAATTAATTGTCCAAAAAGTAGTAAATTAGTAGTAGTTAATATTTAAATGGTAGCTATGTCAACAATTAAACAGTGTTTACTTTATGAGTATTATCATTTTTTTTAAATTAAGCCAGACTATTAGAAAAGATGTCTATGCCCCCCGTAGGAAATGAAATGGTGTTATATTCGTGAATCATCCTAGCAATTGGAGCTTGCTTCCCTAAATTCGTCCCAGCCTGTGGGACCTTAAATAGCTGATGAGGGTAGCTTGGGATTCTAGTTAGAACACTTATAATAATTTTACTGCGGAGGTCTGAACAGTCCAATGTAGTTTTGGAACAGTTTGTATAGGAATACTAGGTCAGAGATAGTACGAGAAATAAGTTTGAAATGTGTTAGGTTATTCTCATAAGTCATTAAATTCCTAACCCCAAAATGGAAAGCTGAATGTTACACTGGCCTGTAAAAATTGGTATATAGGGTTCCATACCACTCTGCAATATTCTAAATGACTTTGTACATAGCTATTGTATAAAATAATCATGGTGGATGTCTTTTTAAACTCCTTCCAGGAACGTAGTACAAAATCTAAAGCTGGATATGCTGAGTTTGTTATCTTATCATAATGACATATAAAGTTAAGTTGACTATCAAAATATATTCCTAAATCTCTGATAGCGGTTACTTCTTTTAATTTCTCTTCTTGAGTGTTGTACTCAGATGGGGTTTTGTTGCGTTTGCTGGTGAATTTAATGTGGTAACATTTGGTACAGTTTAAATTCATTTTGTTACTGTGACACCATTGATTTAAATTATCTAAGTCAGCTTGAAGTAAACTAAAATCTAATTGATTCAAAAGTATATAGTTCAATTTTAAGTCATCTGCGAAAAGATACGGTGTTGAATGCATGAATAGTTGCGATATATCATTGATGAAAGTTTTGGAAAAGTAGTGGTCCCAAGTTGGCACCCTGTGGTACACCGTATGTATCAAAATATGGCTCGGACTGACTGCTATTAACGGCAACTGAGGATGGCCTGTTGTTGAGATAGGAGCTACACCAGCGCAGAGTGGAGTTAGTAATACCGAGAGAATGAAGTTTGAATAATAACAATTTATAGTTAACCTTATCAAAGGCCCTCGAGAAGTCGGTATATATTGTATCTATCTGAAAACCTTGATTACCGACAGACGCCAATTCTAAAATGTAAGTAACTAGGTTTGAGTTTGTAGACTTATTACCCATGAAACCGTGTTGATTATGGGATAGATATTTCTTTACGTGATCATGCAATACAGGATACATAAGACATTCGAAAGCTTTAGACAGGGTACATAGAATCCCCAGGACCCGATGGCATTCTAGGCCGAGCGTGGGTCCTGGCCTTAAATGACGTAGCTCTCGAGCCCCGACTGAGAGGGTTCTTCAGCGCATGCCTCGAGCAGGGCCAGTTTCCGAAATTGTGGAAGACGGGGAAACTGCGTCTCATCCGAAAGGAGGGGCGCCCGGCGGACTCACCATCCGCCTACCGGACCATAGTGTTGCTTGACGAGGTGTGCAAACTCTTCGAAAGAGTGATTGCAAGGCATCTCGTCATAGTGGGGCCGGATCTGGCGGACACCCAGTACGGTTTCTGTCAGGGGCGCTCCACCGTGGATGCAATCATGCGCGTGAGGGCGGAGGAAGCGGTTTCCCGGGGCGAAGTGATGTTGGCGGTTTCCTTGGACATCGCCAATGCGTTCAACACTTTGCCCTGGAGTTGCATCAGGGAGGCGCTCGTGTATCACAAAGTGCCTCTCTACCTCCGCCGCATAGTCGGGGCATATTTATCACAGAGAGCCGTAGTCTACCCAAGTAGGACCGGCCTCGGTAGACGTGAAATGTCGTGCGGTGTCCCACAAGGGACGGTATTAGGGCCACTCTTGTGGAACATCGGCTACGACTGGGTGCTTCGTCTTGCCTTTCCGGATGGTGTCGCCGTCACGTGTTACGCGGACACATGCTCGTGACGGCGCACCGTGAGGCAACCCTGAGAGCCACGGCCGGGGTTGCCCAAGTCGTGAAGCGGTTCCGGCGGCTGGGTATTGAAGTGGCACTGCACAAATCCGAGGCCTTGTTCTTCAAGGGCCTCGGAGGAAGCCACCTGAGGGACCCAGCCTTATAGTAGGAGGCACTCGCATCGGCATTGAGCTCTCGATGAGGTATCTGGGGCTCGTACTTGATAGCCGATGGGACTTCGGACACCATTTCCGAGGTCTGTTCCCATTCCTCAATATGGTTGGAGCAGCGCGTGCATTGGCGGGGCTGCTGCCCAACATGAGGGGACCCGATGACTCCTGCAGGATACTCTGCTCGGGGGTTGTGCGGTCCATGGCCCTTAATGGGGCCCCAGTATGGCCGGGGACCCTGAAGGCCAGCAACGTCGCACTACTGCGACGACCGCAGCGAGTGCTGGCCATCAGGGTCATAAGGGGGTACCGCACGATCTCCTTTGAGGCGGCGAGTCCCGTGGCCGGAACTCCACCGTGGGACCTGGAGGCGAGGGCCTTTGCAGCTCTGTATCAGTGGCGCAAGGAGGCGCGGGAGTTGGGTCGGTGTCCTGAGTCTCGAGAAATCGAGGACAAAAAATCCCAACTCCGCCAGGTCCTCGTGGAAGAGTGGAAGGAACGACTTGGGCAACCAAGCGCTGGGCACGCCGTTATCGCGGCGGTAAGACCCGTTATGGAGGATTGGCTCGAGAGGCATCACGGAACCCTCTCATACCGGTTGACGCAGGTGATCACTGGGAAAGGATGCTTCGGAGATCACCTGTGTCTGATCCGCAAGGAGCCAACGCCTGAGTGCCACCACTGCGATGGCCGGACCGTGGACACAACGTGGGCCAGGTACCGCAGACGACTCAGGCGCCGAGGTGGCAGAATGACCTCCGTCCTCCATAAGCGCAGGCCTGGGGGTGGTAGGTGAGGCCATCTGTCACACTAGCAGAAGCAGGCCGGGGTGGTGGCGAGACGCCTTCGAAGCGCGCGCGCCTTTTCGGGAGCACAAAGGGGACATAGGGGTTCCCACACAGGAGAGGGTCATTTACGCGCCGTAGATGGCCCGAGGTACGTCGAGGTATCAGGGTTTTCCTTCCTAGGGTACACCTGGTTCCCCGGCAACTGGTACCCGAGACGGCGTGCGGTTTGAGTCCGACATAACCACCGGTAGGTGGTATCCGCCTACCGGTACCCTTTTTTTTCCTGTCCGGTGGTACCGCACAGGAAAAAACAGGGTACATAGAATGGAGAAAGGCCCATAATTAGAGACCATATCTCGCTTGAGCGCCCTGTTCCCCGCTGCCTTCTCCTAGCAAACACTTGAAATAGTGTGGAATATTCGCCATGACTGTTTTATATGGTTTCTTCATTTTATATTATATTTGTTCATTTTATATGGTCTCTTATCCACAATCTATTTATATTGTATTTTGAAGAATTATTCGTATTCTTTCAACCTCTAATTACTCTTCTTCAAGCAAATTAAGATATAACTATCGTAAAGGCATGACGTCGTCCTTTCGTAGTCACAGTGACTAGACTGACTGGACTTGATAGTACAGTACAGTACTTGACTGGTTTCGAGCTCTCACAGCTGACATCTCTGCTACACACAGCT